TAAATAGTAGCCAAAAATCCTTGGAATTAGACAATTTTTTTCGTTTGGTGTATTTGACAGATATAAGAAGGATACCAAGAAAAATGGAGGGAAAGGAGTAGGGAAGGTATGGCAACAGATTTTGGACAGTCATATGTTCGATTTTTGCTATTTTCTGAGGGTTTAAACAGTTGCATATGGTGGGCTAATGCATTACTTCCAGGAAAAGCACTCATAGAGATAATAAAATTATTTTGACTTTGAGACAGGGAAGACAGTCGGTATGTGATGGCATGCGCAAATCTCTATTATGGCGGCCAATCCGATGTCTGGCAACCCTAACAAAAAATCTAGACAGTGTGCATTTTTACCTCCTGTGAAATAACAAGTGGAATTTAGAAGTCGTTTTGTGTTTTATTATCATTCTGCATCTTAATTCTATGTGTCGTGGTGTTAAAACGTCAGCAGAAATATACGATAATCAAGTGAATTAGACAGATTTTTCGAAAACCTGTCTCCAGTGCTCAGGATATAAAAACTTGTATTAACATGCTCAAAAGTGTGAATGTGCACCTCAATGTCAAGCTAAATTAATGTTGTATCTAAAACACATACCTGATCGACTCAAACCAGCTTGTCACTCACATATACACGCTTAAGCAAACTTAGCAAAAAGATGATCTGAATCTTGGAATTTCATTCAAGAGCTAGTAATGCTCGCTACATGTCTTCATCATAAGTGTTCATCAGATTGGTGCGGGCTCAGGAGAAAATCACCAATCAATCACGTTTATAAATTAATTTTGCCCACGAGAATTACAAGGGTAAAGAAATTCGTATTTATAAACGAACAAATTTGAGATAACCAAATATCAGTCAGAGAAATCTGACGATCTACGAAACATCAAAAAATCAAAAGCGGGCTGACGGCGTATTCAGGGTTCGTACACCTTTTTCAAAATGAATTTCCCTGACATTTCCCTGACATTTCCAGGCAAAAAAGGAAATTTCCAGATCTAGTTTTCCTTGCACGGCCTCTAAAAAGTCTCTAACAACCGTATTATTTAAAAGACAAGACTTATTATGAAACATTTTGGGTTTATCCTTTTGTACCATTTCTCATGACTTAAAGGCATAATCAGATCTATAGGAGTGACGAAATTACAAGCAACTTGTATAATTGACCTACCAATCTATTCCTTACAATATCAAATACAATATCTCACAAAAGATTCACAATATGTTTTAAATTGGTGAAGTTATCAGTGACTCAAAGTGCAAAAATGGGCGAAAAATGTTTAAATTCTCCCAAATTATAAGAATGGTAACCATTCTTACAGAAAAATAATATATTGTTCTAAAAATCTTAAGTTTTCCTTGAATAAAGTATGCACTTTTTAGATTTTTTAGAAAATAGACATGACAAGGGATGACATGAGCCTGAAATATTTTAAAATTGAAAGAATTTTTTGTTTAGCCTGCTCGCTAATCTGATTCTCTCTTTAACTTTACTTCTACAGGCCGTCTTATTAACCAATTTATCATATTATTTATTGCATTATATTCTAATTTTACGTACAGTATTTACATTGCATAAGGCCAAAGGTAAACATACATATACAGGGGCATAGCCAACAAGTGTCAAGGGGGTGCATCTTTTGGGGTTTGCATCACTGCGAGCGAAGGAAAACCAAAAGGGGGTATGGGGGTTCACCCCCGGAAATTTTTCAAAATTGACAATTGTATATGGTGCATTCTAAGCATTTCAAACTATAATTTGTTAATGTTTTGTAATGAATCCAAATAAAAACTGAAACTTCAAAATGTTGATCTAAAGAAAAATAGCAACTCCATTGAGGGGCAATTCCCACCTAATGAAACATATTTTATCGAATACTATCATTGTAAACATTATATGAAAAATGCCAAGTGGCTTCTTGGGCAGAGACTCTATATACAGTAACAAAAACATTGGTATATAAAATTTTAACCAAATCTGTCAACTGATATTTGAGTTATCACCCTGATAGATAAATAGACTGAATACGACCGGACTGTCGAACATACAGCTCCTTAATATACTTGTAAATACAATTTTAAACTGTAAAGAGTTCCTCAACAAACCATGAAACATATACCAGTAATTAGCTTTGAATGGCCTAAAACTAACTTACTACATGGAAAAGCATAATTGTATTGAACCATCTATACATATTCTTTATTCGGTTTCAGTATAATGTTCACACTGTTCTTACAAATAGACAAAACCAGATTTAATGTCATTCAATCAACCCTAATGAAAAGATTAACAATTAGTGGAAACAACTTAACATTTGATTTTGGATTTCATTGATATCCCGTCATAGCCTTAAAATGTATTTTGCTGGAACATTATTTTTTCAACAATCATACAAAATTCCCTGACATTTCCCTGACACATCTTCTGTTTCAAAATTCCCTGACATTTTTGGCCCTTTTTGACCCAATTTTAAAATTCCCTGACATTTCCAGCACCTGGAAAAATAAATCAATTTCCCTGACATTTCCAGGTGTGTACGAACCCTGGTATTCTACTAAATGTTGTCTATTTCATATACTACTATCTCAAAGTCGAAATTATTTTATCATCTCTATGAGTGCTTTTCTTGGAGGTAAAATCAGAAAATAGCCAAAATCCAACATATGACTATCCAAAATCTGTTGTGATACTTTCCCCCCTCCTTTAAATATTTGAGAAATGAAAAACTGACTCTTTTTCCAAAATCTAAAAATTAACTTTTAAAGTCACTACAAATAGTAAAAAATGATTAATACAGTCAATATGGTACAACGAAAATGGGACTTCTGCGCATGTTAAAATTTTTCGTCAAAACTCAACTTTTGTTCAAGTTGATACGATTGTCTTTCGAACTAGAGACTTCCCTCATTCGAAAGATCATAAAAGACTTTATCTATACTGAAAATCTTAGATCCAAACATAGTAGAATACACCGTCATTCCTCATTTGATTTGTATTTCTGCTGACATTTCAACACCACATCACATAGAATTACGATGAAGAATGATAATAAAACACAAAACAACTACTTAATTCCACTTGTTATTTCACAGGAGGTAAAAATGCACACTGCCTAGATTCTTTGTAAGGGTCGTCAGACATCGGATTGGCCGCCATATTTGAAATGAAAATATCACTAAATAGAGCTCTGCGCATGTCTCAACATTTCGACTGAATAAGAACATATTTTCAAATTTTACATGAGGACTTTAAAAACTTTAGTCTCCACTGACCCTGACAGACCTTGTCTTCAATAGGTATCCATGTTAAGATGACACCAACTTTTTTTACATCATTGCAGATTGGTTGAAACTGGAGTCTCAAAACTTACAGGCCCGTAGGGTTCAGGGGCCCCCTGGCCAAAAATTCTCACCATTTTGAGCACTTTTCAAGCGATTTAAGCCTTTTTTGGACCAATGTTGTCAAAGACAAACTCCCTTGAATTTCAAAAAGTAATCCCTCTTGGCATAGGGCTGGCAATTGGCCCGGTCAACATTCGTAAAATAAAAAATCATAATATTTACTTACGAAATACATTATCTACTAGTTCACCTAATTCCTGCTCCTCTTTTGCTCTTGTGCACACAATTCTCTATGAGGGCTTCTCTTCTCTTTGGTTCCTTGCTTAGGATGCTGAAAGTAGCATTATAGTAAATAGATTAAGATATATAATATTGATCTACTTTGGTATCTATTATTCCTAAGTGGAGAGATGAGATGAAGCTTCCTTTTACATGAGACAAATCAGAGAGGTATTATTGTGCAATTAATCACTATTTAGTCTTTGTTCCTCAATCAGACCCTTTTCTATATTATGAAGTTACATATAGCTTTATAAAGTTCATTCGCCAACATTTTTAAAATTCATCAAAACTTGATAAGTTAGTAAAATTACAGACAACTTTGTTAATTTCATATCATATTCTCTCAATATATCACTGTTAAATTAGTTGAAATGCTGTTTCTCTACATTTATCTTTAGGAAATGCACACAATCCGGAATTCAGTATTTGAATCCTTTAAACGTACCTATCTCTCTCTTGGATTGAATCAAAGGAGTTCACTGTAGGCTATTTTCGCCATATTCTGAAAAATAAAAATATGGGTATCTCGTGTAGATTATTGCAGATTATCTTTCATAAATATGAGATAGATCTATCAAACATACTGAAATTCCATGATTTTGCGTCATCGCAGAAATCCAGAGAATTTGAGTTTTTAAAATGTTGGCAAAGGACCACGAGTTGTTTGTAGAGTGAATCTGAGGAGCTTTTTCACTTGTGTTTTTCATCTAAAAAACATCAATACATTTTAAAACATTTTATTGACTATAAGATTGCACCATATAATCCTAAGATTATCTATGGATTAACACCCAGGTATTGATATCTTTCAAACTTCAGAGGGCTGGGAATCATTATTACGATCGCTTTTGAATAATATTAATGCTGTTTTAAATGGGTTTCATGTATCTCAATAATTTCTCAAATTGTGTAAATGAAACCCCTTCCTCCTGAAAGAGAAAATTCTTGGGATTAAGGAAGGAATAACATTTACACAATTTGAGAAATTCTTGGGATACATGAAATATGAATAGGACAATAGCTAAATGGAACACTCTACCAGGTGACATGTTAGACTGTGACAGTCATAGTAGTTTTAAATCATCATACTATGCCTATGTCAATAACTGCAATTAAATAGATGTGTTTTTAATATAGATCTATGTTTTAAAGTGCTAATTCGGTGTTCCTGGGGTCAAAATACAGTTTTTCAACATTCAGATAGATCAAATACACTACTCACGTTTCAACCCAGATGCAATCACAACATATTTTTGTATAAATGTGAAATTTGATTCGGTTTTTTCCAACATCCGGGAACTTCAGTTCAGAGGTCATCCGTGACGTCACGTTCAGTAACCTAGTAAAGCCGCCATTGAGAAAAGTATTTATTTTCGAAAATGTCCGCACTAAACGATGAATATCTCGATGTTGAGGAAATGGATGCGTATTACCGCGAAACAGAAGATCAAGGAGAAGATGAAGAAGAAGATGAAGAGGGTTTCGTAGGTACCTTGGGAACTTCGGTGGAGATAGGAGAAGTACGGCCGTACATGTTCGATCCTGAGGCGTTGCCCGGGCGAAACAACCCCCAAGACGAAGTGGTGCAGCCTGAGTATGAGGATCCAAACTGGAGAAGTAACCTGGACGATTGGTGTACTTGTGGGAATTGCCAGGTTGAAGAGAAAGTCTCTGAGAGAGTTTGCTGCCAGGAGTCGCCTAAATGCAGAGACAAACTCAGTGAGGAAGTCTGCCGCCCATCGTCAGGACTGACCATTCCAAGGGATTGCATCACCCAGCATCGTGGTTTTGGACCGGTTTGCTTGGACAATGATGTTCTGTCTACAGCATGGAGGCAGTACAAAAGCCAATACCCTGATGGATATGAGGGTCCCTACGACAAAAAGATGAGACACATAGCCTACCGTCAGCACCAGCGATGGGTACATGGGTTCCTTGGGAAGGATGTGAGGGTGGTGATACCATCGTGTGCAACATCGTGCATCAGGGCACACTATCCACCCCCGGGATTAGAGGAGGATTTCCGTTTTACTGGGTTCTCGTATGGAGACAGCAGTCCAGATGCAAGCCCAAGGTCGAGCCCAAGATCAAGTCCAAGGCCACAAGCACATCTTTTGATGAACATTCTCGTCTTCATTGCAATATGCATCTACCTGTTTGTTTAGAACTGCAGACACCATCTAGCTTAGCAGGCCATAGGTCTCTAAGCCCCTTTACTTCAAAGAGAGAAATGAGTTTATGAATAGAAAAATTGCATTTATTGCAAAAAATGTGTAAGACAGGGAATGAATGTTATCACTATGCTTTACTAGTCTAGCTGATATGAGTGTGAATGTGTGCATGACAAAACAAAAGAAATCCTAAGTCTTTTTCACTAAGATAAAATTTTTAATCAATGAAAAAACAGGTCCAGGTCAGATTCTATAAGAGGGGTCTAATTTTTCAATGGGGGCTCTACATTTTAGCATTGGAAAATACTAATTTGATTTTGAAACTGCTCATTTGATAAAATGCCCTACTGTACTATGAATATTACTGTCATTTCCATGTCCATCACATTGATTTTCAGAAGACTACTCAAAAGGGTAATCCATATCTCATGTAAAATTGTAACTGAATCAAACCTCATAATTCACTCAAACAATATAATCACACATAAGGGGAAATATTACTTGATCATTGAATTTATTTTCATAACTCATTTACAATTCTATCAATAACATTTTCATGTGATTAGCCTTTGTTTTGAAAAATTCACCAAATAGCCACAAAAAATTCACCAAATACATGGCAAATAGCCACAAAATTTCAGTAGTTTGATATTTAACAAGGCTATAAATGCAAAATGTCACCACTTATTTGTTACAGACACTGACTGCATACCATCGAAGACTGTCCACTTTTTGTTGGAAACTATAACAATATGTCAACACTTTAGGTGGTGACATAAAAATTTATATTATCAATTTATTGCTCAATCTATTGCTTATTACAGTACAATTACATAATACTGTAATACGTTCATTCAATATAATGGTACTATATCTGTATATAGGTGGTTCTGTATACTGTGTTACTGCATTTCACATTTTATTTCATTTTAGTGCAATATTACAAAAACTACAAAATGTTGACAACTAGTTGTAAGTTATCCCTTTTTAGACATGGTAACAACTTAAAATTGTTACAGATTATAAGCATTTCCATGGTAACAGATATTGCAAATAATGTGGTTTACAGTAAATCTGTCAAATTAATTAAGCTCAACATTACTTGTTCAGTCTAATGGTTCATTGCACATCACATTGAATTTCATTTTATTGCAACATTACAAGACAAAGCAAAAGCGCTTTTTTAAAGTGCACTAAAAAATTCTACAAGCTGCAAACCAGTTGAACAAGTTATCACTTTTTGACATGATAACAAATTAAATACTGTAAAACAGGTATTATTAGCGAGGGGTAATTGTTAGCGATTGTTAGCGATCGCTATAGTTTCGCTAAAAATTCAATTCGCTAAAATAAACCGGGCGCTAAAATTTGCAAATTCCCGGGAAACTACAAGAATACTAGTGCTCGATTTCTGGTTTAATTTGAGATTAGTTTGGACCGAAAAATCAACGATTTTAAATGCTACCGTGATTTTGTGATTAGTCAGATGAGATTACAGTAGTTTGGACCAATACCATGTGCGTTAGAAGTCTTACATTTTGATAATTCCTCTGTCATGTCCGTTATTCATTCTTCTGCCATAAATGATGAAATTTCTAATGCATTTCGCTAATTTGATTTTTTAAAGATTAATCTTCATTTCGCTAAAATTTCCCACGCTAAAACCCCCTAAAATTGAAAAATCGCTAAAATTTCCCGGTGTCAAAATTACCTGTTCTTCAGTAACTGGAACCAATAATTTCAAATGTTTACAGAAAAAAATAACTAGTCCACAAATCTATCTGGAAATCTTGTAAAAAGTCTATTGTATAAATCATGTTTATCTGCTTGGGGGTGATCATTAGATGGTGCATGAGGTGTACTAGCTTTGATGGTCACCTCCCACTGTCTTGCCTCATTTTGGTTAAGAACCAGCCTGAACACTTCAGTCATCAATTCTTCATTGTATACTGGAATCAGTTAGAAAGTATGATTAACATTTTATAAGAATATACTTCAATGGTTATGGCAATATTTCTAGACACTCAAATCCAATACAATATTGAGGTTAACAACTTACTGTACTCCTGGTAAATTTTGACGCTATAAAATTTCGCGATTATTCAAAATTGCAATTTTGCGGCTATTTAATTTCGCGGATTTGAGTTGATGACATTTCGCGAATTGCACAAGTTGAATTTTTTCATATCAAAAGTCCCGGGTCAAATTCCGGGGGATTTTAAAGATAAATTTCGTGATGATAAATGTTCGCGACTTTACTGCATTCGCGAACAAAGCGAAATGAAATCGCACGCGAACAATACCCGGAGTACAGTATATTTTTGAAACCTTTTGAACATCAACTTACTGAATGTAGGCTTGACAGTCAATACACGTAGTGTTGGTTCCCCACTCTTTGCCCTTGGATATGTCACATTAAGCTGCTTCTCCCCCCTCTTGTTTTTGGCTATTGCCCGCCCAGCATTTTCATTATAGTACATTGCAGCAAGGAGCACTCTAAAATAAAAAAAATAATAGAAGTTGCAATTATTATCTTATAGAAAATTGGTAGCTTCAAACAAAAAGAAAAAACAGAGTGAACAGAATTGCACCTTTGAATAGAATAGACACTTTTCAGGAAAATCCATGATGCCTTAACATTTACCCAGAATGATTAAAAAACTAGGCCTAATCAGTTTTAAAGTTTCATATGTAGAAAGATCCTTGAACATTTCAGATTAATTGCTCAAATTGTTTGGCTGGAATCTTGGGCTTGCCCATCCTGGCAATCTGATCATAATGTAGCACCCAAGATAAAACTGTAGTGGATACATAAAACAACATGTGATGTTTACCCAAGTATGGATCATCATTAATAACAATAACACATGACATTTAAGATTTTGTAACATTTTATAAACCCCTTATGTTTATAAATTATAATTTGTCACATTGCTATATGCCTAAGAAGTATTCGGTATCTTTGTGAAAGATGACTTCTTTCTTATGAATGTATTTGGTGTGTTATTGTTAGATCTTCTTAGAGTCCCATCAAATCTACCAAACATTATACGGGTATTGTCACAATAATTATGGCCAAACCCCCAAGCTAATCAATAATAATCAATAGGTTAACCTGCTTGTCATCCCTGCATAACCAAAGTGAATCATTTTGGGGGCAAAATGATTCACCACACTGTGGAATCCTTCTAAGGATCCGGTCTGTCCTACTGGGGACATTCTTCGCACATCAGCAATGAGTCGTTTGGAGTCAAGAACCAGCATTAAATCTTCATACTGCTTTGTTCCTAAAAATGAATAGATGCTTCATTATTAATTAAACAATTTAGAAATGAAGTAAAGTATGAATATCAGTAGACAGATAGATAGACATGGAACAAACCACTGCATGTTACAGCATGAATAAGACAAGACATGAGGCAAGCTAACTTGGTAATATTTTACAAACCTATTTCCCAAATGAAGACACAGTGAAAGTCTATTTGTGATATAATAATCCTTTGAACCTCAGATTTCCTTACTCATTTAGATTCTTCATCCCTACTTATCCTAACTACATCATCATAAAATAATTATTATATAATACAATAATAATTATAATAGAGTCTAGTTTATTTACAGTATTGGTATTACCTGGAGTCAACCAACGTTTAGGGTTTTCAATCACTCCGTGCTGACAAGTTGGGAATATATCTGTATCATGTCGGTGGATGTTTGCCACATGGTTGAACAGACTTCTCCATTTCGCCTCGGCTAGGTCACCATCCCCTCGACTTGTGGTTCCGCTCCAATATAGGTGTATGATTATGGCCTTGAACCAAGCTCTGAGGTCCTCAAACTTCTTGGCTAATATTTCTAACTTCTTTTTCAGACCTAAAAATTAAAATTGAGCAAATAATAATGCAAGATGAATAGCACCACAGAGGGTTTAGTACTGGACTCACATGACACAAATATATTTTAAAAATAATATCTGGCAAGCTATTTTGAATTTGAAATAATTTCGCTCCTTTGAAAAAAAATTTGGTCAATTTGAACTAAGTTGAAAAAAGGGTGACCTTTTTTGACCCTGAGAAGGTCATTGAAGGTCAAATCTCAAATCCAAAGTCAGATTTGAACTCATGAGAACTTGTAGATGATTTTGAAAAAATTGGTGAAATTGAAGCAAGTTGAAAAAATACCTTTTTTGACCTTGAGAAAGTCGAGGAAAATTTGGTCAATATGAAGCAAATTGAAAAAGACCTTTTTGACCTTGAAAATGTCATTCAAGATCAAATTTCAAAATGAAGTCCGGGATAATAAAAACTGTGTTGTGGCCATTTTGAATGTGTCAGCCATCTTGGGTTACTTACCTTTTGAGATATGCCAAATATCGAAATAGTGGGTGACACCGGCCCAGTTCTCCCGTATCCACTTATTGATTTGTGGGTGTCTATCCGTCACAAGATTTAAAATACGGATCTTGCTGGTCCCGTCTTCCAATTTAGAGCCATCTAGAAGGGTGTTCTTGCATCTCTTTAGTCCTTCGAGCTCCATATGATAGGAGCTTTTGACCTCATTTTTCTGCAAACATATACAAGAGGTGCACATAAAGTTCTTGGAATTACTGTTCTTTTTATCATGTGTCTTGGGGCAAAGTTAAGTTAAACTAATAATAAAAAAAACAGCAACTCCAGGGAGTAGCAAATCCTATTGAAAAATTCAAGATGGCTGCCAAAAAACTCATAAGATCCAATCAAGCACTAGTTTGCTCTTGCATTTCTAGCTTTGAACAAATATAATGAAAACCTCATATATATATATATACTGCTGCGAATTTTGCTTCATTTACAGAACTTTGCTGCAGATATCAAAAGAATATCTTACCTGAACCAACTCTGAGCAGATGACTTTGTTCCTTCCCAAGTCAAGAAAGGTGTAGGAGCCATATTTGGCAGTGTGCCCCATGCTGTCACAACGAGCATCGCCAGCAATTGTAGTCTCTTCTGCTACTGTTGAGATCAGTTCATGTTGTT